ACAATTTCCTTCCCCTCTGGCCCACATTTGTTCATCAGAATTTACTGAGTGTTTGCATGTTAAGTATTGGGGACTTAGTAGACAAGACATGATCCTGTTTTTAAGAACCTTACAACGGGGAAGGAAAGTGACTAGTCAGGTGGCAGATGCTGTGCAGTGGACCAAGGGGACCCGAGTCGACTTCCTGCCCTTCCCACTCCCCTGGCCCCACAGCCCCTGGACTCACCTGTCACTGGAGGCCCATTGGGGAATTTCTTGACACAGTGCTGCTCATCCTCCCCTGAGGCACAGTCCTGCTGGCCGTCACACACCTGCCCCCTTGGGATGAAGTGGAGGGGCTGCCCACAGAGGAAGTAATTGTCCAGAACCACCTTGACTGGAAGGCAAGGGCAGGGAGGGGCAGAGAGGGCTTACGGTCAAGCAGGCAGCCCAGGGGCAGGAGAGATAGTTTCCCTGAAAACATGCTGGGCCTGGAGACAGGCAGATGTGGGTTCCAGGCCCAGTTCTGTCACTTAGGAGCTGGTGTTCTTGGTCCTGAGCCTCAGTTTCCTCATCTGTAAAACGGAGATAGTAACATCTGTCCCATCCTTAAAGATGGCTGGGGAGTCAATCAAGATCATGTGTGGGGAGCAATTTAGAAACAGTCCCCACTAGCCTCTCAACCCCAAGTGCTGACACAGTGCCTCTGCGGAGGGAGAAGACAGCGCTGGGCCTGGAGTCTGAAGACCTGAGTTCTGGCTCTGCCACCTACTGTGTGCATTTAGACCAATCGCTTCCCCTTTCTGGGCCTCACAGGGTTGCAGAGAACGTTTGATGAGATGGTGGTTGTGAAAGTGTCTCATCACTATCAAGTGCAATTCTAGGATTTGGTGTTTTTATCTGGGGTTGAAAGACCCATTAGGAGGTTGGTGTTTTGCTTTGATTTTGTCTTCTAGCTCCTGCCTTCAGGATTCTGTTGCTCCTTTGCTGTCTTAGATGATGGGAAGGAGTCTAGTGTTTTTAAGTCCTCAGAAAATGCAATATAGTTTTGGAAATTTTAGCCACGGGAATAAGAGAAGAAAAAGAAATAAAAGGAATCCAAATCGGAAAAGAAGAAGTGAAAGAGTCACTGTTTGCAGATGACATGATACTATACATAGAGAATCCTAAAGATGCTACCAGAACCTACTAGAGCTAATCAATGAATTTGGTAAAGTAGCAGGATACAAAATTAATTCACAGAAATCTCTTGCATTCCTATACACTAATGATGAAAAATCTGAAAGAGAAATTAAGGAAACACTCCCATTTACCATTTCAACAAAAAGAATAAAATACCTAGGAATAAACCTACCTAAGGAGACAAAAGACCTGTATGCAGAAAACTAGAAGACACTGATAAAAGAAATGAAAGACGATACAGACAGATGGAGAGATATACCATGTTCTTGGATTGGAAGATTCAACATTGTGAAAACGACTATACTACCCAAAGCAATCAACAGATTCAATGCAATCCCTATCAAACTACCAGTGGCATTTTTCACAGAACTAGAACAAAAAATTTCACAATTTGTATGGAAACACAAAAGACCCCGAATAGCAAAAACAATCTTGAGAAAGAAAAATGGAGCTGGAGGAATCAGGCTCCCTGACTTCAGACTATATTACAAAGCTATAGTAATCAAGACAGTATGGTACTGGCACAGAAACAGAAATATAGATCAATGGAACAGAATAGAAAGCCCAGAGATAAACCCACGCACATATGGTCACCTTATCTTTGATAAAGGAGGCAAGAATATACAATGGAGAAAAGACAGCCTCTTCAATAAGCGGTGCTGGGAAAACTAGACAGCTACACGTCAAAGAATGAAATTAGAACACTTCCTAACACCGTACACAAAAATAAACTCAAAATGGATTAAAGACCTAAATGTAAGGCCACACACTATAAAACTCTCAGAGGAAAACATAGGCAGAACACTCTATGACATAAATCACAGCAAGATCCTTTATGACCCACCTCCTAGAGAAATGGAAATAAAAACGAAAATAAACAAATGGGACCTAATGAAACTTCAAAGCTTTTGCACAGCAAAGGAAACCATAAACAAGACAAAAAGGCAACCCTCAGAATGGGAGAAAATATTTGCAAATGAAGCAACTGACAAAGGATTAATCTCCAAAATATACAAGCAGCTCATGCAGCTCAATGGCAAAAAAACAAACAACCCAATCCAAAAATGGGCAGAAGACCTAAATAGACATTTCTCCAAAGAGGATATACAGATTGCCAACAAACACGTGAAAGGATGCTCAACATCACTAATCATTAGAGACATGCAAATCAAAACTACAATGAGGTATCACCTCACACCAGTTAGAATGGCCATCATCAAAAAATCTACAAACAATAAATGCTGGAGAGAGTGTGAGAAAAGGGAACTCTCTTGCACTGTTGGTGGGAATGTAAGTTGACCCAGCCACTATGGAGAACAGTATGGAGGTTCCTTAAAAAACTAAAAATAGAACTACCATATGGCCCAGCAAGCCCACTACTGGGCATATACCCTGAGAAAACCATAATTCAAAAAGAGACATGTACCACAATATTCATTGCAGCGCTATTTACAATAGCCAGGACATGGAAGCACCCTAAGTGTCCATTAACAGATGAATGGATAAAGAAGATGTGGCACATATGTGCAGTGGAATATTAGTCAGCCATAAAAAGAAACGAAATTGAATTATTTGTAGTGAGGTGGGTGGACCTAGAGTCTGTCATACAGAGTGAAGTAAGTCAGAAAGAGAAAATCAAATACCGTATGCTAACACGTATATATGGAATCTAAAAAAAATGATTCTGATGAACCTAGGGGCAGGACAGGAATAAAGACGCAGACATAGAGAACGGATTTGAGGGCACGGGTGGGAAGGGTAAGCTGGGAGGAAGTGAGAGAGTAGCATTGACATATATACACTACCAAATGTAAAACCGATAGCTAGTGGGAAGCAGCCACATAGCACAGGGAGATCAGCTCCATGCTTTGTGACCACCTAGAGGTATGGGATAGGGAGGGTGGGAGGGAGACACAAGAGGGAGGAGATATGGGGATGTATGTATATGTATAGCTGATTCACTTTGTAATACAGCAGAAACTAACACAACATTGTAAAGCAATTATACTCCAATAAAGATGTTTAAAAAAAAAGCCAAAAAAAAATTGTAAAAAAAAAAAAAAAAAGTCCTCCGGGAACAGATATTTCCATACTTTCCAAACTGTCCTGGCTCCTCCTGCCTGACTGAACTCTCCCTTGGCCTGAAGCTCCCCTCTGCAGCCCAGCATCACCACTGGCCCACCCTAGGAGTGGTGGTAACAAGTCTGATGATGGCCCTGCTTATCACTGCTAAGCGCTTTCTTTGCATTGTCACCTGGAATCCTGACAACAACTTTAGGAGGCAGGTGCCATTATGAACTCCTGTTATAAATAAGGAAATGGAGGTTTAGAGAGTTAGGGTTTATTTCCCAAGGCCACATAGCAGTGAGGTGTTAGAGCCAGGATTTTGATCAGTGTCTGTCTAGTTCTAAAGCTCTTTGCTGCCTCTCCACACCTTCCCTGAAGGAGCTCAAAATGTGATCTTGTGGCCCCGATGCTCCTGGTTTGAGAAGCAAGGGAGAAGGAGCAGGTCAGTCAGATATTTCCTGGACTTTCAGAGTTTGGTTCATGGTCAGGAGCCTGGGTGACGAGGGGTCCCTCCTGCCTCCTGGGGTGAAGCCAGGACACAGCGTCACCAGTTGAGCCCACAGAAGCCAAAAGGTCGAGGGAGTCCAGCCCAGGATGGAAGTTCACGTTACCTCCTCTGGTTGCAGAACCTGGGGGTCCCGGGTTGGAAGCTGCAAAGGGCCTTCTGGGACAGGGAGAGCCCGACTTTACATTATGTACTTGTTCCTGCCTTGGATCACCCTGAACCTGGCCCTGTCTTCTCTCTCCACTATGGCAGGGCACGTGCTCAGAGTAGGCAGGCTCATCTTAACATTAGTCTGAGCCAAACTGGCCTAGGACAGTAAATCTGCTGATGCCGCTGCACACCCACCACCGCTTTGGGCCAGCCAAGGTCAAGAGGAATGATTTGGAGTTATGTGCATCTCACGTCCTGATAGGGCGCTCAGGGATCTGGGTGGTGTTTGTGTTGTGTATCTGCATTTCCACCGCCACGAAGTAGAAATGGACCTGCCCAGTCAGGGCTTGGGGACCTGTCCTAGCCCTGTCCTCGACTGCCACACTGCCTCAGTGCCCAAGTGGAGAATGAGGCGTTGGACCGGATGATCTCTGAGCGTCCTCCAACGAGTTGAAGGCTGCTGCAGGCTCCTGGAAGGCCGTCCTGGCCTGGTGAGCAAACACATGGCCTCGGCCACATCTCTACACACTACGTGATGACCTACACTTTTGCACAACTTGGTTTTTATCCAGGTACTTTACACACGTTACCTCATTGGTTCTCTGATATCCCTCTGAGGGAGGCAGGATATTTTACAGGTGAGGAGACTGAGGTTAAGAGAGGTTGAGGGACTTACTCAAGGTCACATAGCAGCAAGAAGGGGCAGCGCCGGGATCCCCGACCCAGGTGTCCTGATTCCTAGTCTGGTCCCCTCAGCCCTACTTCCTGCGTGAAAGCTGCAGTCAGTAGCCTGCTGTGACTAGGGGGGTGGGTGAAGATGGGGACTCAGTCACAGTATGTGCGGGCTGAAAGGGAGGGACTGTGGGAATCGGGGCTCGCTGAGTTTACTCTTCTTTGCCCCAGAGTGGCCTGCCTGGGATAACAGTGAGTCTCAGGCTCCTGCCATGGTGAAGCCAGAGCTCAAGGCGGGGAAAGGTGCTGTCTGCCTGGGCATCTTCCCCGATGCGTCCTCCCTGCCTCCCTCCCCATAAGCAGACATGCTGCCTGCTCCTCCCAGCGGGGCTGCGGATCCACCCCGCTCTCTGTCTGCAGACTTGGGGAGGAGCAGGCAGGGGGCCTGGCTGCTGTGCCATTGCCTGAGTGGGTTCTTAACTGGTGCAAACTGTGCTTTCCCCACAGAAGAAATCATCTGGGATAGAATCCATCTGGGTAGATGGGGGCTGAGTTCATCTCCCTCACTCTGAGAGGAAGGCTCCCTTCAGAGCAGGGGTGGATACAAAGCTCTATGCAGATCACCTGGCCTTGACTCTGCTGGGGTGGGGAGCACTCTGAGGTGAGGGCAGGGGAAGGGTGGGTGGGAGCTGCCACTTGCTGTAGGGGTGGAGGGGGGGCAGTAAGGCAGCATGGGGGCTGGGGTGAGGGCTGCCACTTACTGAGGACAGCCAGGGCCATGATGATCAGCAGGCTCACCAATGCTGCGATGATGGGGATCCCCACCTTTCTGAAGGTCTCCAGGGATATGCGGGATTTGCGCAGGGGGGTGACATCTGTTAGGGGGAGGGGAAGAGCCTGCAGTCAGTACTCGGAGGCCACCCCCTGCCAAGGCCCACAGCTTCCCCACCCTCTAGGCCCTGGTGTGGAGCCCAGGAAAACTTTGGGGACCGTTTTGGTTGATGCTGGGGTTATTCCTGCAGACTAGGCTTAGCTTCCTCAGCATAGGGGCTCCCCATCTCCTTTCACTTACCCAGGCTTGTCCGTCTTTCACAGGTGTTCCTCTAGTCCATGGCACCTTCTCTTTGTCTTGACAGCCTGTTCTAGGATGTTTCATCCTGTCCAGTCTGACCTGCATCTGTCCCAGGAGAGGCATGTACCCTTTCCCTTTACTATCATGTATCCTCTTTCCTGACTTGTCTTTTGATTAAACTATAAGCTCCAGGAGGGCAGGGGCTGCCAGCACAGTATGTGCTTAGTGGAAGCTTAATAAATACTTGTGAATGAAGGTGACCTAATGGCCTTCATCTCCAACTCAGTTCAGCACACAGCCTGTCCCTAGAAAGGTCCTGTCTTTAAGGAGATTCCAATTTGGGGGACGAGGCAAACAGGGACACAATTGCCAGTACCACCAGACACCATCAAGGCACTTAAATGGGCCTTTCTAGGTGGAGATGGGAGAGGGAGGAGTGGGTCCAGCTTGGTGAAGGCCTGGGTGTTGGGAGCTGTGAGCTGCTGGTGTGCCTGGGATGTAAGGTGGGTAAAAGCATGTTGTGGAAGCTGGGCTGGCAAAGTCAGCTTGTGGAGAGTCTTGACTATCATGCTAAGGGGTTTGGATTTTATCCTGAGGGCAGTGAGGGACCATGGAAAGCTTTTAAGCAGCAGAGAGATATGATCACATTAATATTTAGAACTATGACTCTTTCATCAGGGAGGAGGTGGACTAGAGCAAGAGTCTGGGGTTCGGGAGACCAGGAGGGACCTACTGATGTCTAAAACAGAGGCAATAATAACTATACTGTCCACTTCACGTGGCTATCCAAGGAGATGGAACATGGCAAGGCTTTAAAAGATGAAATTCTCACAAAGTATCAGGGATAGGCTCTTTGGCGTCCCCTCTCCTTGCAGGCAATAAGCTGGGGAGGTGCCACGGGGACTTCTCCAGGGAGAACTAGGGCAGGAATCGTAGCAACCCTGAGAATCCCTGGAAAGCAATAGGCCAGCCCTCCTCCCCCTCGTCTACACATGGCTTTCTCTCCTTTACCTCCATCAAATTGTTCTTCAGATGCCACTTTCGTGCTGAGGCCTTCTTTGACCTCCCTATTTAAAATTCAGTCTTCCAATATTTCCTATCCTCCTTCCCTGTTTTATTTTTTTCAAAGCATTTATCACCTCTAATGTACTGTATATTTTACATATTTTGTATATCATCTAGCCCCTCCCAACCCTGCCTGAAATGAAGTCTCCAGGAAGATGGGGATTTTTGTCTGTTTTGTTCACTGCTGAGTCCCTGGTGCCTAGAACAGTGCCTGGCCCTTACTAGGAGCTCAAAAAATATGTGTCAAATGAGTAAACGATTTGCTCTTTGCTTGTTCTCTTCAGCACATCCCTTCCGCCTTTCTTACAGGTCTTATTTTATTCTGTCTGGAATGATGGCTAGTTATGTTTCTGTCTCTATGTCTTTCCTCAGCTGTTCAAAAGCAGAGAATGGCACCCTGCCAGAGACTGGTGCCCAATAAGTGCGGATATCATTGGATGTGTCGATAGGGAAAGCGTAGGAAACTCTATGTTTCCTCAATAGGGAGAGGTTAAACCTCAGACACGGAGCTCTGGCCCTAAGGATGAGGGTTGGTATTGCCTGCTATTATCAGGACCTGGCAACAGAGTAGGTTATTAACAATGTTGTCGGATATTGTTTTTAAAGTTCCAGCAGTGAGTGTTCGGCACTTTCCTCTTTCCTGCGGCCATGGACATGGAGACATTCTGTTCATTCATTCATGCATGATTTCTTCATTGACCACCTACTTCTGGGGATACAAGGTTGGCTTGTTTTCCCAGAAGTGAATGACTTATTGGGAATCCTTTGATGAGTTCCCCTGTCCAGGGCCCAATGTCTCTGCCTCCCTGATGTTCTCATGGAGAACATCATCAGGAAGCGAAGGGTTTTCTTGGTTTGTTGTCTACAAAGTTTATTGTTTATAAAGTTAACCAACCTGCTGAGCTATGAATAGCCTCCTTGCCTGCCACTGCTCCTTCCTCCAGCCTGTCCTGTCCAATGCTGCCAGACAGACATATTGCTCTCATCCCATCACGTCTCTGCTCCAGAACCCTCAAGGGCTCCCCATGACTTCCATATCTGGACCACCCTCTTCTCTGGGCTTTCAAAGGCAGTGTAATTTGGCTTCCCTCTCCCAGCCAAATGGACTTCCCACTGCTAGTCCGCCAGCCCCATTTCCACATGAGCAGCTTCACTCCCTGGTCCTTGCACAACCTGTAATCATTCTTAACCTCAGAATCTTCACTTGGCACTGATTTCTCCCTCCCTAGCTCCCTTAATTGTTTTCTGGTTTGGCTGTTCCCAGGCTTACTCAGGTGGTGGAGCCCTTGTATGTCTAGTGTTCTTTGGGGACACCACAGAATATTGATATATTAAATTCCAAAGTAGAAACTAGGCGTTGTTTTACCTGCTGAAGATTATATCGTTTGTGATCTTTATTAACTTGTGACCCTGAAATAAATAAGCTGTCAGAGTAAGTGGGATTGGTCATCTCCTTATGAAGCTGTCATATTAACTTGTCTCTGCTCACTTGTTTTGCTGATCCAGGTTATCAGGCATAGGTATCAATGGTTTAAAACAATGGAACAGGAGGAAAAAAACCCCCTATATTTGGGAATACTTCATCTATTAACTTATTTTTCTCTGGTAAGTCAGGCAAACACTGCCATTTTCTATTCTACCAGTGAAAACACCTTTGTCCAGCTTGTTCCTTGGCAGCACGGTCAGACTGTAAACTCCATGAGGGCAGGGACTTTGGCTGTCGTTTTTACTGCTGTAGTCCCGTGTCCAGCCCAGGGCCTACCCCGTGCAGGCACTCACAGTATTGTTGAAGGGATGAGAGAATAAGTAACTGAATGAATGAATTAGAAAATCACTGCTGTTGGCGTTTTAGGTTTGATGGTTCTATTTCCCCAGAGACCATGCCTCCTACTTCTAGAATGAATCCTGGAGATGACACTTGCTTGATACATGTTTGTTGAATGGTGGATGGATGTCTCCCGTAGCATTTAGCACTTGGAGGTGGTGGTGAGGACCATGCAGGAGGGGTCTAGTATCTACTTGGTAACTGAGTGAAACTGAGATAGACAAAGGAAAGCCAGACCTGAGCTTACCGAGGCTGTTCAGGGGTTGATCACTGTCGGGATCCTGTAATTGAAGGAAAAACAGTCAGTGAGTTGAGTGAGGGAACCTCTCAGGCTGGGGCTAAGAGGCCAGGAAAGGGCTTTTATCTGCATTCCCTTCTCCCTGCTGAGTCTAAGGTGGGGGGCTCTATGATATCTAAATAATTGGTTTAAAATATAAAATTCAGTTATTCATCTAAATGACCTGGTACAACAGGTTTACTAATTGTAGCAGCTAGTTAGCAATTGAAAAACAACTGGCTGCTGGGCTGTTGTGTGTATTGCTGAGTTTCTTAAGATGGTTCTGCTCTCCTGTCTGTTTTTGTCAATTATTTGCCTACTTTGATAGATATTGTAGTTCTGTAAAAACTTGAACAGGGACTTCACCAAAGGGTATACTTCCATGGCCAATTAAGTGCCAAAAGATGCTTGACGTCATCACTCATCAGGCCAATGCAAATTCAGACCACAATGATCTATCTCTACAGAGACACCAGAATGGTTAAAATTTAAAAGCCTGACAATACTAAGTGCTGATGAGGATGTAGGGCAACTGGAAATCTCAGACACTGCTGCTAAGAGTGTAAATTGGCACAAATATTTTGGAAAAAGGCTTGGCTGAATCTACTAAAGCTAAACATATGACTATTCTATGATCCTTTGTGTTTTTTTGTTGTTGTTGTTTTTAATTTGGCTGCACCAGGTCTTAGTTGAGGCACGTGGGATCTTTGTTGTCACGTGCAGGATCTGCGTTGCAGCACACGGGATCCTTTAGTTGCGGCATGTGGGATCTAGTTCTCTGACCAGGGATCGAACCCGGGCCCCCTGCATTGGGAGCTCGGAGCCTTAACCACTGGACCACCAGGGAAGTCTCAGTATTCTATGATTCTATGACCAGGAATTAGGGCCAAGAGAAATGAGTACATCTGTCCAGCAAAACACCTGTACATGAATCTTCATACTAGCTTCATCCATAATAGCTAAAAATTGGAAAAACCCCAAAGTCAGTCACTGACAGAATAAATTGTAGTGTATTCATATAATGGAATATAATTCAGCAATAGACAAGAATAAACTAGTGTGAAATGCAATGACACATGGACGAATCTCAGAGACATAATAATGAAAAAAAGAAACTAGACACAGAAGAGTATTATTTCATATATATGATTAAAAGCTAAAGTTAATCCATGGTGATAGAAGTCAGGATAGTGATTATACTGGGGGTTATTTGAAGGAGCACAATGGAGCCTTCTGGAATGTTGGAAAACTAGATCTTGATCTAGGTGTTGGTTACATGGGGGTATACGTGTGTAAAAACTCATCGAGTGGTATACTTTAGATTTGAGTACTTTACTGAACATATGTTATACCTAATAGAACAAACAGACAAAAACAAAAAACTACCAGGACACTAAGGTATTTCTGTGAGTGTAGTCTTAGGTCATCGTGAATACACATACACAGATGCACACAAGGCTCTGTTCTTCCACTCATTTGCACCACTACACGTGCACTCAGCATACACACAGCCACATAGGGGCACACACAGGAGCCCGCACACAAAGGCTCTCATGCAAAGTACTTGCACCCTTTCCTGCAAGGCAGAGCTTAGGGAAGGGTGCTGCCTAAGTTCCTGCTCTCCTGCCTCCCATGAACTCTCTTTCTTTCCTTTCCTCATCTGGCATAGGACCTGGCGTCCCTGGGCTGGGCGAGGCCTAGGTCTCTACCCAGGGACGTGCCTGCCCGCTGGCTGAGGTCACGGCCGCCCCGGTGGAGGTGGAGGCGCTGCAGGCCCTTGGTCATTTCCAGGGGGGAGTTTCCCCAGTCCCATCTGGGAGTGAGAGGGCCTCTTCTAACCCCTGGGTGGGTGTCCGAGATTAGAAATTGTGGGGTCCCTGGGTGCTGCCTGTTCCCATGGTTGAGCGTCGCGGACATAGTCGTTGAGAGAAGGGGCTTCTTCCTTTCTTCCCAAACTGCTGGGGGATGTGCCTGGTTTTGCCCTACGGGGGCACTAGGCCATGGGCAGCTGGGGCACGCAGCAGAGATAGCTAGGCTCTTCAGGGGCTGAGTTGGAATTCGAGCTCTGCCTCCTATTAACTGGGAGCCTTTGGGCAAAAGATACTTAACCTCTCTGAGCCTCAGGTTCTCCCCTCCTAGAGTGGGGGAAATGACACCTATTTCAAAGTGCTCCTGTGAGGATGAGATGCGATATCTGGTGGAAAGTGCCTGGTTCACAGAGAGAACTCTCTTCCTGGCCCTTCCATCCTGTGCCCCCGGGGCATTTGGCACAGAGCTCTATTCTAGCACTCTCCCGTCGGGTGGTCTCTATTTCTTATTGCCTTTGTGCCTTCAGTGCTTTGCATCTGGCTTGTACCTAGTAAAGGCCCAGCAAATGACTGCTACACTGAACTGAACTCTGGGCTCTGCACTGTAGTTCCTTCCCGACCGTCTCTCCTCCACCATCACCAGGGCCTGGATAGGGATCTACTTCCAGGATGAAATGAGAAGGATTCTGGAGAGTCTGTTGCGGTAGCTACAGAGCCCGGTGATAATCTTACCAACAGTGATCTGTACACGATTGGCACATAGCAGTTTACAAAGCCCTTTTGTCTAACTCAGTCAAATACAAAGGTGAAAAGAATTGACGCTTGTCTGATAACCAGAGGGGGTAGCATTCAATAGTTAAGCATCAAACAAATATTTTAGAGTGTCTATGTTGTACCAGGCACTGCTCTGGGAGCTGTGGATTCAAAGACAAATGAGAAATAATTACAGCAAGGATGGGAGAAGTGGCCAAACAAGACAGGTGAGGCCCTGCCCTCAAGATGCTGTATCCTGGGGTGGGGGAATCAGGGGGAGAGTAGGAGAGGCCAGGTCGTCAACAGATAAACCCAGAGAGTGATGGGTGCTATGCAGAGAGTAACATGGGTGATAGGAGACAGCGCCTGGCTGGATGCTTAAAATGGGAGGTCTAGGGAAGGGGTCAGGTTAGGGAGGGCCTCTGGCCTGAGACTTGAATGACAGGAGGTAGCCAGGCAGGCAGAAACAAGCTTGGTGTTGGAGGAACAGAATGGAGATCGGTGTGGCTATAGCAAGGGGGGATAAATAGACGGGCGGTGGGAAGATTCAACTGTGCTTCGAAGATAAAGGCAATAGGCCTCGCCCATAGATTGGTTGCTTGTGGGTTTTTAGTGAACAGGCAAGAGGGTATTTGCTGAGATGTGGAAGGCTACAGGAGGGGCAGTTTGGAGGGGTATCAAGGACATCCAATTAGTGGCCAATCCCCTGTCAATTCATTCTTTCTCACGGAATCTGCCTGCACATACATGTCTGCACTGGTTGAAGTAGGTAGGGTAAGTCTCTTTGTTTATTTTTCAGCAAATATTGGCTGTTCGCCTTTGATGGGTCTGGAACTGTGCTAGAAGCTGAGAGACAGAGGGAACAAAAGAGGCTTTCGGTCTGTATTTTCTGGGGCCTTGGGTTCCTCATCTCTGAACTGAAGTGACCCTAGTACTCCTGGCTAATATGTTTTCAATCGCTATCAGTTGAGTAGTGGTTATTAAACAGAACAATCCATACCTTTTTGAAAACAAAAGAGAATGAGGAAAAGACCCTGCAAGATAGAATGATAGAGGCTGCGATTATCTTGGTCATTACTGCACCCCTGGTGTCTCCTACAATACCTGGCACGTAGTGGGTATTTAATAAATCTCTGTTGAATGAAAAAATTAAGGAAAATACTGCAGTTTCAGGGTTCAGTCCCAGGCCAGCCTTGAAGACGCTGACTGAGGTAATTCACACAATGGAATATTACGCTGCAGTCAAAACACATGAACTGTGGTGCCACAAAGTAATATGAACGGCGTGAGCAATTTCATATTAAAGGAAAAATTAAGTCCCAGAAGATTTCACCTAACACAGAATCTTTTTTATTACAAAAAAGCAAAGAAATGCAAAGAACATGGAATTCAGGATGATTCTAGCACCATCTCTGGCCTATTGAAGGTGTACAATCAAGATTTGTTGAATTGATAAACAAAAAGGACTCGCCCACCTACCTCAGCAAGGGGATCTCCTGGTTAGATGTAGGTTATTGTTAAATTCTAGCTTTTGTTTTGGGTGGTGGGTTTATGGAGGCTTATTACGTTGCTGAAACTGTGTGACCAGGTGGTGAGTTATAGGGAGCCCTGCATGGACCAATAGTGAAAAATGCCATAAATCAATGATTATGATTTATCCAGGGCCGTGCATCTGAGGGTCAAAGAGAAAATAAAAAAGCAGCCGCCTGGTGCTGCTGAGGGGTTTGAGGCTCAAACTGCCATCCTCCTGCTGCTTTGTTCTGACTCTTATGCTGCCTGACTTCTTCCATTTAGTGGCCCACTCTTTGGCTTCTCCCATTGCGGGGCACAGGCTCCGGACGCGCAGGCTCAGCGGCCATGGCTCACGGGCCCAGCCGCTCCGCGGCACGTGGGATCTTCCCGGACCGGGGCACGAACCCGCGTCCCCTGCATCGGCAGGCGGACTCTCAACCACTGCGCCACCAGGGAAGCCCTTTGGCTTTTCTTGAAGCCTCTCTGACAAACATCTCCAGCACAGAGATCAGAGATGAAGAGTTGCTAAAATCCTGGGAAGGCGAGCTGCTGAAAGTCAAGGGCATCGGGGATAATGCGTAGGGAGTTGGGTGCGTTTTAGGCCTACGAGTGGCAGCTGAGCAACATCAATGCCAGTGACTTTCCTGAGCAGGATAAAGATGGGGACTCCCAGCAGCTGCGTCGCCTTTCAGTCCAGAATCAATCCTGAGCTGTGGGAAGGAGGGAGGGAGGCTGAGAGATGTGGCGACCAGGTAAGGTTCTGCTGTCTGACCCACCCCCAACACTGTGGTGGGTCCCTTCCGGATCACAGTGTGCAAGGCTGAAAGGGTCTCTGGAGTAGAGAGAAAACCAGCCAGACAGGGGAAATGTTTGGCCCTGTAGTTGATGGAGGGAAGAGGGCTGAGAGGCCACCAAAGACTAGCTG